AGGAATCTCATGTTGATAGCGGTATCGGCGATAAAGTTGATGGTAGAAATTTGTTGATGATAGATGCAGCGGTTGTCGCGATAAAGGTTTAGTCAATGTTGAATGCGTTGGATGATGCTCGAATGCTCGTGGCGTCAATGCAGAGGGGGATGGGCTGAGACTTTATATGGCCTGGGCGAGTTGGGATGGGCAGGCCTCTTCTTGGGGGCGGGAGATCCGAAGGGACCTGACGCACTGCACTCACTGAATTGGATGGAATCGAGGCCCACTGCCCGCCAGGTAACTACCTAAGGTATGCTCTGGGGTCTGCATCACTCCACTGAAGCGAGTTTAAAGCAGTGTGCCACATGGCGGGCTGACCAATAACCTAATCGGGCAGGTCGTCCACTCCACTGCTCCAATCGCGTTGTCGAGAATGAGGGTACCTGAACTAAGGTACCTTTGGTAGGCAAGACAATTGTTCAACGACGGAAACGGCCAATAGACGGACAACGACGTAAATGGCAGGACAAGAGATCATGAGTTCAGATAAAATATAGTCTCCTTCATATGCCGAGACCCTCAACTCTTTCGGTCAAAAGTGTGTTGAGAGACAGCCAAGCAACGACGTTTCCTCAGCCTATTATGAGCCTGCAACCACAATGCAAGACATACAGTGATACTTTTCAGTTCATGGATGCTCTAATAAGTAAGATAGTCTTTGCGGATATCAAATCAAGAGCGCAGCCACGACGTAGTTTGTATCTGGACGACCCTCTTGTCGTCATCGAATTGATTGGTAGCTGGTCTCCCCTCCCAGTCTCCACATCCCTCCCATCTTGGTGTAAGTCGAAGCAACGAATATCTTCTCAATAACTAGGATTCAGGAACACGCCAACAACAACGTAAACAGTCAAAATATTCTTGAGAGGATGATGTTCTAGAAAAAAGTGTTAGAAAGTATTCCCAGAGTTTGTCTCGAAATTGTGAAACGCCATAAATGCCGAGTAAATATCGCCTAACTCCTGGCAACGCCGAGCTGGAAATGCCGAAATCACCTGTATGACACGATCACGTCCTCGAAGCACCAGCAACACTGTCGTTCTCGCTCCAAACTTCCTTGCTTTCCTGTTCAACAGCTCTCATGGCCACTGCGACATCTTCAAGCCGGGTTACAACGTCGATCACTCCTTGATTGACTCTCTGGAAATATCGATCATTGGCTTCTCGCCGTTTCCTTGCGAGGAGGATATCCACTTCCGTCTCTTCCTCGAGCTTGTGACCCAATCTCTCAACTCCTGTGCCGCTACTGTTGGGTCGTGAGATACTGCTGCTTCCGACGGCACTCTTCTCTGTGCCATCAGGACCAGACTTGGAGGTATCGCCGAGCGCACCCTTCATGTTCCGAACTTCAGATCCAGTTACAGACCCCACAGTTTCGAGCTGGGCTGTGTCTATAACATCATCTGCTTCACTTCTGGCCCAGGCTTGAGCAAGGGCAATTTGAGCGGCTCTCAAGTCAGCCAGCTTGCGGTCATGATCTGGGCCAAACACGTGAGTGCCCCCAGAAGCCGAGAGCTCGACTTCTTCCAATGTCGCTTGCATTTCGGACCATAAGAGGTCGGTACGGTCACCTGTCGCGCGTGTGCTCTCTGCTGGAAATAGTCCAGCTCGATGATGGGAGGCCACAGCCCCGGATCGTCCAGATCTAACAGATGGAGCACGTTCGGTGTTAGGCCGTAAGCTTGACTGGCCTATGAAAGGGACGGTTGGCGGCGGTGCATTTGGTAAGGAGACATTTGACGCCGATGGAGATGGATGAAGGAATAAAGAAGGAGGAGGATCTCGTTGTCGGCTCAGAGGTCGCGTTAGATGAGACATGATGACCTGAGAGACCTCCCGATTGGCTGGTGATGATATGTACAAAAGAACAACACAGTTTGCTTCATTCCAGGCCGATATCAATTGAGCATTGACGCTTTTGTCGCCTACCGCCTACCTAGGTCGCTCGCTGGGTAATGCCAAGGGAGTGAAAACAGTGTAAAGAGTGTTGATGAGTCCCGTCGCTACTGTGCGACCCGCCACTCGAACCTCACTCATCACAGAGTTTCTGTGGGGCAGTTATTGGCACCACGTGATCTCTCGCCTGACTTCTTCCGCACACAGGTCGCACCTTCCTAGGGTCACCAAACCCTACCTGGAATTTTCGTTGGTCGTTCCTTCCCAAGTTTTCGTCGCCTCCGCAAATTACCATCAGCATCCCGTCGTCGATACACAGACAGATCCGGTAGGTACTAGCCATCCAACCCAACACAAAGACATCCTCTCAACTCTGCACGCTCGCGCTCGAGTTTTTCGAATCGACAATCGACTAACGACTTTCTCTGAAGCAAAAATGGCTGGAGGCAAACCCCGTGGTCTTAACGCCGCCCGCAAGCTGCGAACGAACCGAAAGGACCAGAAATGGGCCGATCTCGCCTACAAGAAGCGTGCCCTCGGTACCGCCTATAAGTCCTCTCCCTTCGGTGGCTCCTCACACGCCAAGGGCATCGTCCTCGAGAAGGTCGGTGTCGAGGCCAAGCAGCCCAACTCCGCTATCCGAAAGTGTGTCCGTGTTCAGCTCATCAAGAACGGAAAGAAGGTCACTGCCTTCGGTACGACGAACCCCAGATGCTACAAGAGATGAAGGGCCGGTCAAACTAACATTGCTTTCTAGTCCCCAATGACGGTTGCTTGAACTTCGTGGACGAGAACGACGAGGTCCTCCTGGCCGGTTTCGGTCGCAAGGGCAAAGCCAAGGGTGATATTCCCGGTGTTCGATTCAAGGTCGTCAAGGTCTCTGGTGTTGGTCTGCTCGCTCTGTGGAAGGAGAAGAAGGAGAAGCCCCGTTCTTAAGCGAAGGGCTCGCGGATGGAAACAAAGTCATTTTTCGACACCTGGAGTCTATTCGGATTGCTTGCATCGGCATTACTGGTTAGGGTTCTGATCATGGGAGACGAGGTCTGAAAAAGGGAAAATAGATCACAAAGTCTTCGACGAACAAAACAACGATGTGCACGCCGCGTGAGATGGAACTTTTGGGGTCTGAATCCATATCTTCGTATCTGATGACATTATTGTACAATTGTTTTACATGCTTCAGTACCTTCCGGCCTTCAGTTCTACTTGACCTCGTCCTCAGGCCCCTGGACATGTCTGATAGTGTAGTCCGCAGCTAGGCCCAGGCTGATCACGCCACCGGTGATCCAACACCCGTTGATGAACCACCACCAACAATCCTTGACATCCTTCAGATTGACTCGCTTAATCATAATACCAAGCGTGACCATAGCTCCTCCACAGCTCCCAACGAAGAACGCCGGGCCAGCACCAGCTGCAAATCCGGCAGCAGCCAAAAAAGAGATTTGTACAGCAGCCAAGCCAGTCAGCACCTGCTTAGTCTCAGCATCATGCTTCAGTGCAATGCTCTTGATTCCCGCCTTTACATCGTCCTTGATGTCCATATGAGCATAAATCATGTCGTATAATATTGTCCATGCAATATTTGAAGCATATAGGCAGGCTGCAGCAGTCAAGGCTGGGGTATGTGACAGCAGGTCGATTCCAAGAGCCGGAAACCCCATAATAGCACCCCACGAGAAGGTGAGGCCGAGAACTGCTTGAGGGTAATAAGTAACTCTCTTGGCCAAAGGATAGCTAGCTACCAGGAGCAAGCTGGGGACGCCGTAAAAGAGGCAAGGCAACGGAAATTGGAGCAATATCCCCAGGCCGGCAAACAGTTGAACCCCAGTATAGACAAGTCCCTTGAACGGTGTGATCGCACCACGAGCAATCGGCCTGAGTCGAGTTCTTGAGACATGAGGGTCGAGATTGCGGTCCCAGAGATCATTGATAGTACATCCAGCACCTCTCATAATGAGAGCTCCAGAGAAGAAAAGTAGTGATGTTCCAACGACAGAGCCTGGAGTCGCCATTGGCACAACCAGTGGGGCAGCCATGAGAGTAGAAAAGAGACATGGGAAGAACAAATAATAGGTTCCAGCAGGCTTGTCAAGTCGGACCAGCTCAGCATAAGGAACCCATGAGGCTGGGAGTCTCGACAACAGTCCCGTCTCAGGTGGCTTATAAGGTGATGGTGCTGTCGGAGCTGTCGGTGAGTCCAAATCTTGGGAGGTCAGGGGCAAAGAGCGAGGTTTGGCCTCGTGAAACCCAACTGCTCGCTGATTATTATTCCATGGTTGTCTCAGGCCTTTGCAAGCACGAATGAGGGACGGTCGTGTCTGTAGTTGTCTTGGTACTTTCAGAGCCTGATCTGAGATTCCCCGGCATTGAGCCCAGGCCGAAGCCCGGGGAAGCGCACTTAATCTCATGAGATGTACAATCTACAGTCCTACTGGGATCATGAGAGTTCGAACTATGATTTTATAAGGATTTTATATTCAACTTACTGCGAAGCTCTGTAAAGGAGCTTTGGTCACGTTAGACCTCAATGCCAGCTTACCAAAGTTCAAATCGAAAACTCCCGATCCAAAAATATGAGTCTTGAAACTTTAGGATCCTTGTCACCAAGCTCACGTAGCAAAGCAGTGGAGCGGATTGTTAGCGAGATCGACAAGTGATGTGTCACGTGCACATCGGCCTGAGGTACCTACCCACCCAAGCACCGCTAGGTAGTAGGTACCTACCAGGTATGTACCTTACTGTACCTTAGGCTCCCGAGGACACCTTTGATTGGTTGCGCATTGTACAATCCAACGCACGCCTACCTAAGCTCCCGACGCGCCTTCATCCATTCGCCTACCTAGGATTTGTAACCTCCCCCAAAAATCTATCGTCGTTCACGGCATCATTGTCACTATTTTCCTACTGAATGGGGGCAATTTGCGCAACGAACGGCTTTTCGGCCTGATTTCGCAAATACCAACTTTTCGAGACTTCCCGTTCTTTGGGACCAACGATCTCCCTTTCTCGAGCGAAACCCCACCACAGCTTCGCGTGTATCATTCTCCAAGCTCGACAAGATGCCGACTTCGTTGCATCCGCAGGCCAAATTCGATCCTATCCCGCCTGATTTGGACTTGTATGGCTTGGTCGACAAGACTCCAAATTTCAAGTGGGTTCAGCGTGTATCAAGAACCCAAATACGCAATCTTGGACAACAGGAGTTTGAGAAGCTGGTGTTGATTCACGTCATCGCTGGCGGTAAACCCCTGGTCATTGATGGATGGGATGGCGTTCTACCAAAGCGACTTTTCAATGCCCGTTGGCTGGAAGAGACATATGATAAGCAACGTAGGTCAATCCTTCTCGGATGACCATCGGAAGCATACTAACCCTAGGCTGATCAGAGGAGAATGTCAGAGACATCAATGCGGGTTCGGATATCCCTATGACGATGGGACATTACCTACGATCGATGCGACAGCTGGCGAATCAATGGACACCTACAAATTTCAGAGACGAACGTCGTCAGCGCCTTTACTTAAAAGATATAGACTGTCCTCCCGAGTGGCATGATGCACTACAAAAGGTCATCCATCCAAACCTATTCTACCTAAATGAGAACGCCAGCGAAGCAGGTGGCTCGCAACAAAAAGAAGACGCCTTCCGCGATGAGGCTGCTGCAGCACCAGCTGGTGACTTGATGTCCAGCTTACCAGAAGAAATGCGAGCCCAAAATCTTATGTGCTACATTGGACACGAAGGCACATTTACCCCGGCTCATCGTGAGATGTGTGCATCGCTAGGTCAAAACATCATGGTAGAAGCATCAGAGGGCGAGAAGGGCGAGAAACCAGGAAGCTCCCTCTGGTTCATGACGGAAAGCAAGGATCGCGAGGTTGTACGAGAATACTTTCTCTCCATGTTGGGACACGATATTGAGATTGAGAAGCACTTTGCTCAAATCAATGCGTGGAAGAAAGCACCGTTCGACGTCTATGTCGTTGAACAGCGAGTCGGCGACTTTATCCTCGTTCCACCCCTGGCAGCACATCAAGTTTGGAATCGTGGTACTCGAACCATAAAAGTAGCATGGAACCGGACGACTGCCGAGACCCTAGAGTTAGCGTTGCACGAAGCCCTGCCGAAGGCTCGTCTTGTCTGTCGCGATGAACAGTACAAGAACAAGGCCATCATTTTCTTCACTTTACAGAAGTACTATCGCCAACTTCAGAAACTGGAGGAGGATGCAGAGATGACATCGATGAGTTTCGTAGGACTTGGTCAAGACATTGTCAGGAGCTCACCTCGTGCTAGACAGCTTGCGGGTGACTTCAAAAAGCTATTCAGTCTATTTACTGAGATTCTCATTGACGAAATGTTCGCACACAAGGAGAAGGACGTCGAGTTCATCGAGTTTGACTCGTGCATCACATGCTCATATTGCCGTTCGAATATCTTCAACCGGTTTTTGACATGCAAACATTGTACTCGGACGCTGATAAACGGTGATGAAGATACTTATGACGTTTGCATGGAATGCTACGCCATGGGGCGGTCTTGTGCCTGCCTTTCGGGTCTTCAATGGTGTGAGCAATGGTCTTGGGCCGACTTGGTCAATAACTATGAGGAATGGCGTTCAATGATTATCAAGAATGACGGATTCGTTGACTTTGAAACCTCGCCTCAGCCCTTAGAGATCGCTAGACAGCGTTCAGGAAAGAAGTCACTGGCACAAATTTGCCAAGAAGCCTTGAGAAGACGACCGTGGAAAGACATAACTCAGCCAGAACGCGAAATTACGCCAAGCGAGTCGGAGGCCGAGGTCGATGGCGAAGGGAAACCAAAGAAGAAGTACAAACGCAAGAAGAAGAAGGGAGAGCTTAGGCGATGCCACGTCTGTTGTCACAAGGACTATGCCTACCGAGTACACCAGTGCACCAACCCTGGCTGCACTGAATCCTATTGTTATGGCGTTCTTTATCGAGCCTTTGATATGTTGCCACAGAAAGTGCTTGAGGATGAGCAATGGCAATGTCCGAAGTGCTTAGGTATATGCAACTGTGGCCACTGTCGCCGCCAAGGACATACAGACCCCTACACGCCAAAGAACACTCTGCTGGGGCATGATACCCGCCCGATTGCCGATGATCGAAGTGTGGAAGCACTGGTCGACTTCCGAGTCCACAACCTCTCATGGTTGAAGGCTGCTGGAGAGGAAAGTCGCAGCAAGGACAGCAGAAGGATGAAGAGGTTGAGAGAGCAAGCCGATAATGCCAAGGCACAAGATATTACCGAGCAGGATGAAGCAGATGACTCCATGCAAGACGCAGAGCATGATCCTCCTTGCGGTATGCACGTACCTGGCATGAACGGCTACGGAGATCAGAGTCATGTTCTTGGTCAAGGCGACCAGTCTATGGCTGATAACACCATGGAAGGACCCTATCCACAATACCACGAAGAGAATGCTGGACCGCCCGATCAGTCCATGGCGATGGATATGTCACAGGCTGAAGATGCTGATACCTCCCTCTACCCAGATCCTTCACTGGTGGCACGACAGCGCATTGGTATGGGATACTATGAACCAGACGATACCCCCGACAAGATTCTTTTTGATCCTTTCCAGGCTCCATCTGAGGAAGCCATGCGACCGTCCGAGCCAGATATCCCTGAGTTCGTCAAGAAGTCTATCCGCGCAGCCAAGAGAAAGGCCAAGCGAGAAAACGAGGATCCCGATTTCGTTGTTGGCAAGTCCCACCACAAGAAGCCTCGTCTCGCGGCAGAGCCAGAAGCAGATTTTCTGGACAGCATGGACCCTGCGCTGTTCAATGGGCCGCCAGCTGCCCTTGAGGCTGTCGTGGATCAGCCTGGCCAAGATACAAGGGAACCGAGCACTGCACAAGACACAGGAACAGACGGCGCCCAGAACACACCAGATGAGACCCCAGCTCCAGGCTCGGCTCTGGCTCCGGCTGCGGCTCCATTCCCATCTAAGAAACGGGGTCAACTGCTGTTTGATGCAAATGAGCCCGAACTTCGACACGCCAAACCCATAGCATCATACGTGGAGGCGGACGTCGACTCAGACGAGTTTGAAGAAGAGCGCACGCAAGCGACAAAGCCTAAAACACCAGCTGTCCGCGCACAGGGCGAGAAGCAGTCGGCTGTCGATATGGCTGCTGACGCAGTTCGTGCCTTGTTCGGACCATCATCCCCCGCACCGCAACCTTCCATTGAAAAAGACACTGAGTCTGTCCTTGAGACCAAGACTCCCTCTAAACGCCGTGGTCGTCCCCCCAAGACTGCATCCGCTAGTTCCCAATCTACGCCAGCTAGTTCTTCTAAGAAGCCAACAGGCGGCCAGAGAGGTTGGCCCAAGGGTCGACCTCGAAAGTCACGCTTGTCTCAAGTTTTAGCCGCGGATGTTTCAACCGAATTCGCTGATGAGTCCATCCAAGACCAAGGCGACGACAGTGACATCGAGCACGGCAGAATGGTTGATGAACTCGAAGCACAGCTAACTGCCGAGCTCCGTACGGCTCCTCCGGAGGCTATAGCAGAAGCTCCTCAACCCCGACGTCGAGGAAGGCCTAAAAAGTCCGAGGTGACCACGGTTACAGCGGGGCCATCTGCTGTGACAGTTCCTTCAGAAGCAGGCGCCCGGTCAACACCGGGCAATTCCGAGGATCGAGGATCGCGAAGTGCTCGCCGTACTCGACGATCAGAGGGTATTGATAATGGATCTACTCGGGACTCTGTATCTCCACCCCCGCCACCCAAATCGGGCAACGGAGGAACGCAGCTTATGTCTATGGCTGAACGAATGGCACTTAAGGGCAAGAAGTTCAAAATAGGCAAACGCAAATCCACAACTGCTTCAGCCAATGTGACTGCAGCACAGTCAGGGGCATCCACACCCACGCCAACCTACAAGGCTCCTCTGGCGGTAATGGACGAGCCGACAGCAGAAGAGCCAAAGCAGGCTACTCGTAGTCCGAATCAGCACAGTGAATATCCCGATGATAGATTATCCTTTAAATCCTCGGCCCATGACGGAAGCTTGCGCAGCCCTTCGCCACCACGTTTAGCACGGCGACCTCAACAGCCGACAGTTGTTAGAATTGGTGATACAGATTCGGAAGCAGATATGAGTGATTCAGTGTCTGCGTCAGGATCGGATTCCGGTAGTGATGGGGATATTCCAGCAAGACGTGGCGCTGGTCGTGGAGGTCGAGGAGGTGGGCGAGGTCGAGGCAGAGGTAGGGGTAGACCAAGGGGTAGTGGGAGGGGGCATCGAAGGGTTTAGAGAGCTTGTAAGAGATTTTTATTTAACGGGCACATTGATACCAATGCTGGAGGACTTTGAAACATATGCGTTCACAAATTTTCGGTTCTAGGTTGGCGACAGGGGTTATCAACGAATTCATTGCTACATCATGGTCTAAGGGCGTATGGTATACATATATTAGATAGTTAATCGGTTGAAAATCATGTCTGTGATAAGCCCAAGTCCTTTTCCAAATCACTCCATCGTCCGTTTCGTTTAGGGTCTAATTCCCTGAGAATCTGTAACCAAGATATCACATCACTTCGACTCTCAGGCTCAAATGGCTGCCCCGTGAGTTCGCTCAATGCGATTTCGTACTCAATGAGAGCCTCGTAGATCCATTTTATGTCCTTGTAGTCTTGTAGTAGATCCTTGATTTCGGTTATTTCATCGTCAATGTATGACTTGCGCTCCTCCATCGTCAGATTTGGCGCTATTTGGCGGCTTGATGAGGGATTTGCGAGGTTCAATACGAGGAACTGGTTATAGTACCATAGAGACTGGTCTTCCGGTCCAACATTCAGCGCTTCGCGAATAATCTCAATTTCTAATCCAGATGAGCGATTGTTCAATATATTGCAGAGCAAAACAAACCTTTGTGCAGTAAATCTTTGCGAGACGCGTCGTCTGCTTTGCGCTCATTCAGAAGCCTTGTAATGAGCTGACTTCGGTTATGCCATGCTGAGAAATTGGACAAATCCTCATGTATCTTTTTGGTGGTATACTCAAACTCGAGCTCTACCAGGCTCTGCCCCATGAGCACGGAGCTCTCAAGCTTCGCTACAACGTGGCGACGGTAGCCCCAGGCGTGGAAGTTTCGTCGGTCTTTGGTGAGCATCTTGCTGACAAGACCTAGTTCCTCTTCCCAAATGCGCCGAGCTATAGATACATCAAGCCTTTCGATCGCGCGGTCAAGCGTCCATAGTCGATAATTCCATATCCAGTAGCATTTGGGAAATTCCATCAGCAGAGGAACAGTGAAGCCCAGTTCGGAGCGTATCACGTCGGTATCGGCATCGCTATCCGTCGTTGTACCAGTCTTCCCAGCTGTCGGGGGGCTGGGGCGTGGCGGGATCTCGGTCGAGGAGGAGGGCAATGAAGCGTCGGAAGAGGCTGTGTGAGTGTCTTTCGCTGAGATATTCTGCGACTCCTTCGAGAGCGGCAATCCAGCCGAGGGTTTGGACAATAATCCATAGATTAGACAGCGCCTGCGGGCGTTCCATATCGTGTAGTATTCCGGGTTGAGGCGTAGTAGCTTCGATGTCAGCTGGAATGTTTCGGTACCGTAGTTGTTGTCGGATATCTACATTTGGCGTGAGAAATACGGCCCTTGCATGTTCGGCTACAGCTGACCTTTTGACGTATATCGTCCTCGAGACCACGGTACTTTTGGATCTTGATGAGATCCTGCTGGCGCTGTTCTTCTGTCCGTGACCGCGCAGCGCGGGCTATGCCGTGCTGCAAGCCTTGGGAATCAGCATCAGTTACGGTGGACTAGTTTGTTGGGGTGTTGAGACTAACACTTGCCATTCTGGAGAGCCTCGGCTTATTGATTTAGCCTTGGTCGTTGCTCGCGATGGGTTTGTGAAGGCTTGTGAATGTTTTACTGCTGAGCTGGACGATATGACCCCGCGTAAGAGTGTAGGGTAGTATGATGTGGAATAGCAGTGTCTCCGTGCTGCGATAGCCTTGACTTATTCAGGAACCTGCCTCGGAGCTGTAACAAACATTATATGACTCATTTGGTACGATCTCGACATCGGTATTAAAAACTTCAATTGTTGTTCAGTCCGTTTGAGAGAAAAGTGCAGTTACTGCTTTCAAAATTACGTTATGCTAGGAATCTGGCAAAACGAGCATAACCGCAACTAAAATTAGACGGCCGTGGTAAGTTTCTCACGGGTAGACATCACGGGGCCATAATCTAACAAAAGAGCGCAAGAGGCCTTAAGAGATGTTTTTCGTACCTTAATTCGTCGTTAATCTCGGAGCGAGGAGTCGTTTAGGAGAAACCAATAATTTAGTGATCTAGTGTAAACGAGAACAATAGTAGTTACAGAACAAGCCTATACGAAGCTTGAATATTATGTAGATCAAGATGCACGGCGTAACCGTGTTGTGTTGGGCTTCATGCGGCTCAAAGCCGTCCCGTCCCTGGCACGGAGCATGTCGTATCAAATGAGGAAAATGCATATAGCTAACATCCATCATAACTCTACGCCAAAGACACGACAAAGGACTGCTATAGTTGAGTATCTAGGTAGGTACAAAGACTTACCGTTTGCCTTGGGAGATATTATGACAAAAGAATGCATGACACCTTAGTTCGGACTGAGTATCATAGGTAAGGTAAGGTAGTAAGGACTACACCGTTGCCTCCAGGTACTGAAATGAATCCATACTATCAAGTGCCTGCCAGTAGGTAGGTAAGGTAAGGTACTTCACTTGATGATGTGGTACAATATCGTCGACTGGCATTTACACAACGTCCATATGATGCCGAAACTTGTCCTGCCCGACTCATTCTGTTCGAGTTACAGAGACGTCAAATCAGTGTGCATAGGTAGATACCTACCTACGCACCCTTGCACGATGCTTCAGGAGAATACAATAACAGAACCTCCTATCTTACCTAGCACCTAGCACCTACTACCTACCTAGTACCTACCTACCTACCTTAGGTAGGTCAGGGAGACAAGCAATTCAGTGTCTGTGCCTCTTGTAGGTACCTTACTTTCGTAATGTCCATGGGAATCTAGAACTGATACCTCGACTGTTCTTTCCTTTAGAGTTAGTCCTCTCCCGTCTCGCTCTTTATAAATTAACCTGCCTCCCAGTTATCAACACAGTCAACAAATTCTACCCCTTTCATCTCCAACATTGATTCTGTCTATATACTGACACTCAGCTTCTCACCAATCAGGGCGAATTATGCAGTCGTTTCTCCACTGCCTGGCGATTGTTGCCATTCTTTTCGCAGCTCGGCCGTGCCGTGCATCCCGTCCTGATCAGTCTCTCCGATCACCACAGGGCACCTCAAGAGGACATGTGAACGCTGCGTACTTCATCAACTGGTTTGTGATCTCGCTTTATCAAACATGGCATTTAGTTGACACTCTCAGGGGCATCCATGACAGAGGCTTTTACCCTCAGCATATGGATGTGTCCCACATCTCTCACGTACTCTACGCATTCTTGGGTGTCGAATCCGACGGAACAGTGTAAGTGAAACGCAGCATGACCTAAATACCCACGTCAGGCTAAACATAAATGAGATACTCCAAAGACGAATATGCCGACTATATGGCACAGCTTGACGGAGACAGTGAGTCTACCTTCTTCACCTTAACTTCACAACTGACGGGAGAACAGGCTACGATGAACATAAAAGAAATGCCTACGGATGTGTGAAGCAACTTTTCCTCTTAAAAAAAAATCCAATCGTCACCTCAAGACTCTGCTTTCCATCGGCGGATGGGGGGCCGGGTCTGCGAACTTCAGCGCTGCCGCAAGCACACCTGACACGCGTGCCAGATTCGCCTCGACTTCGGTCTCCCTGATGTGGAATTGGGGTTTCGACGGTATCGATATCGACTGGGAGTATCCGGATGATGAAATCGATGCTGCTAATTTAGTTCTCCTCCTAAAGGCTGTACAGACAGAACTTGGCATATGTGCAAGAAACTACGCCTCGGGCCATCATTTCCTACTGTCCGTTGCCGCCCCAGCTGCTCCTGAGCATTACTTAAAGCTTCAACTGAACCATACGGGCGGAATTGTTGACCAAATCAACCTTATGGGTTATGACTACTCTGGAAGCTGGGATCACATCAGTGGTCATAACGCCAACCTGTTCCCGTATAAACGCCCTGTCAAAAAGCTCAACCTCGACTATACCCTCAATGAAAGCTTCGAAACGGCGATCAACACGGACTATGCTATCAAAGACTATCTTAGATCCGGGGTGCCCGGTGAAAAGATTGTCCTCGGCATACCTGTCTTCGGCCGCTCCTTTGAAAATAACACGGGCCTCGGAAAGACCTTCAGTAGTGTTGGGAAGGGCTCCTGGGAGCTTGGCATCTGGGATTACAAGGCACTTCCCAAGGAAGGAGCTACGATCATATACGACCCAATAGCCCATGCGTCTTTCAGTTATGACGAGAGAAAACGTGAATTAATCTCCTACGATACCCCGAGCGTAGTTCAAGAGAAGGTAGAATACGTGCTGGAGCATGGTCTCGGCGGAAGCATGTTCTGGGAGGCTTCTGCGGACAAGCAGGGACGTGACTCCCTTATCGGCACAAGCTACCGCGCCTTGGGAAGCCTGGAAGCGACGCAGAACTGGCTGGATTACACGAATTCGTACTTTAACAATATTGCGACAAAGATGGGCGAGGACTATATCTGAGGTGGCTCGATTTTATAAGATTCACCAGGGAGTTTAAACGAGTCACAAGGTCCTAAGCTCAAAACATAACTGATTATTGACCATTAAATAAATTTATAATATGCGTCCCAAGTGTTGATTATCTGTGTTATTCCTTAACCTGTGTTCTTCGTACTGCGTTGCCTTGGGGCCTGATCTAATCTATTACTAACCCACACAGCTAGCTTCGGTCCGCTAACATTTACAGTTTTTCCCCTAACGAGCCTTGGTGCCGATTGCCTGTTTAGGGTGACGACGGAGAGGGTATGCGGCCTGCCAAGGCCGGGGAAAACATCTCTTTTATGCTCGTAGATCGAGGCCACTTGTTTAGTTAGATTATAAGGTTTAAGGCAGTAGCTGTATAACCTTAAGACTTAATATTAAGGTTATTGTATTCTTTAGTATAGTGTATAATGCTATATATCATAATATGCTAAAAAATAAGCATTATATTGTATTATTCTTATTATAAGACCTTACTAGCTATACCTTGCGTATTGGCTATAGAGATATTTTACTTTTCAATAATATGCGTTACCGAGATCATATGGCTCTCTGTAATGCCTGAAAGATGTAGAATCTTTATCTTCGAAGAGACACGTCGTGAGACCACGGAGCAGCAATATCGTGGTTGCCTCAAGCATTAATCTATCGGGGCACTCCAACTAAGGTAGGTGCCGCCGATTCTACGACTTCCAATATATAATCAACTAAGGTAGGGCAAGATATTGGGTGCATCTGGCATGACTCCTTCCCCTCCAGCCAAACTCCTCTCTTCCTACATCCTCACTTCACCTTTGCCTCTCTTCCCTACGGAATTCTTCTTCCAAGCATCAATAAAACTCATCATCCCACGAGGTAGGTAATTTCTCTGAGGGAAAGTTCTGTCTATCGTGGCAGTATTGTTCAGATCATCGTACAATAGTTCATTCGTTTCTTCATGTCCCCGGCTTTCAAGGGCCATACATCTGAAACTCGTCGAAAAATCGATACAGACAAGCATGTTTCGACAGCCGCCTCGGCGTCCTCGACTTCTTCCAAGAACTAGTGGGACAGACTTGTCTTGTCAGTCGATAAGCTCGCCGGATTCAGGTTATGGCTCAGCAGATGAAGTCTTTGAGCTCTGCCCGAATCTTCGCAAACGATGTTTTCCTTCTTTCGATGGGTCAGGCCCAGATGAAATTCCAATCAAATCGCTCGAGAACCAAGAGCAAAAACCACCAGCATCGAGCAAAACAAGACTTGCGGCCAAGCCTCCCAAAACACCAGAAAGGCGTCATCCAAAAGGGAAGGCTGATGTGATTTCTCCTTTCTTATATTCGAAAATCTCCAAACGCTTCCCCCTCCAAGACAAACGCATTGACCCAAACATACAGCATCTAGACAGATATGTCCCGAGACGTGATCCCATTTCCCCATCATCTGAGAGATACCGAACAGCAAAGCAAAGCCAAGATTTATCGAGAGATGAGCGTTTGAGGCGTGACAAGAGTGCCTCGGCAGATCCGTTCGTTCTAAAACGTCGTGTGATGGACCCTGATCCCCGTTTTCCTTTCCGAGTTGACGACAGTTATCTGGACAGAGGTTTGACATCCAACCTGTTCTACTTCTTTTTCCTTGTTTCCATCTAACCAGCTCATCACTAGGTATAGCTCTTGGCCAACTACCACAGAACCGAGGAGGAGATCGTCAAGTCAGTATGGGAGCTATGTGGTCGGTTGGTGGTCTTGCGCCCAATGCAATCGCTACCGATGATGGACAGGGGCATCTCGTCAGACGTGGGACCAACGCTCGTGTGTTTCCCACCCTCTTCCAGGAAAGTCTTGTCAGCACGTCAGTCGAGAAGGAGAAGCACGAAGGCCGCATCGCTTCGGCTCTCAACATTGACCAGGTACGAAAGATACTCGAGTTCGCACGGGCTCAGCAAATCCCGCGAAGCCTTAAACAGCACGGTCTTCATGCGGATTTTGGTCACACAAGTTGGAACGGATGTCAGTGGGAAAACAAAGAGCAGTGGTCAAGTAAGTTGAAACGCTAGTCTGTCAAAATCACGGTTGACCATAAACAGTTCCTCTTAGGCCAGCAAAGAGGCGCCTTCTACCGGCTGCTCCATTCAGGTTGGTAAGTCTGAGTGTTCAAAAAAGCTGAGCTAATGGTCTTCAGAGTACTGGATGCCCCAAATCTAAAGGATGACTTCTACTGTTCGCCACTGGCGTACTCATACACCGCACAAACTCTTGTCGTCTGTCTGGGGAGCCTTCTTTATGCCTGGTCTGAGTTTCGGGGCGTGCAGCTGATCCATGGAACACACTCCGATACCTAGTTGACGTCGGTTGCTTTCTCATCAACTCCTGGAGGCAAAGCTGTGCTTGGGATTGGGCACTCCAACGGGAGTGTGCTTTTCCAATCTCTTTTTGACACATTACCACGGTTCGAGATTCGCCAGGCCTTTCCTATCTCCTGTGTGAGCTGGCGCCCAGCTTGTACTTTGCGGCCTTCCAAGAACCCTATGAATCTAGGGGTCGAAGTTCTAACGGAGGACTTGGTAGTTGGGGATGAGATGGGCAATATCTACTACTACGTTGTGGAATGGCCGATAGGCTGGGAAGTCACGCGGGACACTTGGCCCGGTGCAGTATCGTTGGTAGCCAAGATCAGTAATATTCACTGTCAGCAAGTATGCGGTCTTGCATGGTCATATGATGGTCGACTATTCGCTTCGGGTGGAAACGACAATCTCTGCTGTCTTTTCAATGCTGATCAAGTCTCTGGACGGCGAGCTGAGCAAGCCACCGGCACAAATGGTTACCGAGGGCGTATAGAGGCGGGCAGCGCGTATGGTGGCATTGAGACAAGAGTTACACGGCTGTTGAGCGTCGATGGGAGCGAGGACATGCCCGTGAGGGCTTTCAGGGCACAGCTACAGCCACTTCCGACTGGAACTGACACCGTTCGGTATCTTGGCCCCGCTATTGCGAAGCATCGTTGGAACCACGATGCTGCTGTAAAAGCCATTGCATTTTGCCCCTGGAGGCGAGAGTTGGTGGCAACAGGAGGTGGCTCTAACGACAAGTGCATCCACTTCTTCCACACGCCATCCGGAGCAGCTCTCGCAACGATATCAGTGTCAGCCCAAGTAACCTCGCTCATCTGGAACACAACGCGCCGAGAGATTGCCGCCACATTCGGGTACGCTTCGCCGGAACACCCCTATCGTGTGAGCGTTTTCAGCTGGCCGGAGTGCAAACAGGTTGCAGCAATTCCTTGGGAGGACGACCTGCGGGCATTGTATGCCATTTCATACCCTCGAGGACCGACCTCTGATGACTCAACCGCACCAACAGGGGGAAAGGAAGGATGCATTATTGTTGCATCGAGTGACAAAAGCATAAAGTTTCATGAAGTATGGTCGCGGGAACGAGGCGTGACCGTGGGCGCCACGGGTATTCTAGCAGGAAGCGATATCCTGGAGGGGCTTGAAGGCATTGACAAAGAAGGAGACGTAATCCGATGAACTGCTTTCTTTCTTTCTTCTTGCCTTGTCCAGAGAATTTCTACCTGAGGAGAATTGTCTAGACTGCAAGTCATGTTCAAGATTGGTAGGTAGCTTTCACTCTGAGAATGATAATATGATAAGACGAGGAACCTAGACCGGTCTCTATTCTGTTAAACTTGGTCAAGTATTGCTGCGTATTTACAGGAAGTGGGTCGCAGAAAAGGTCAACTGTCCACTGTTGTACTGGAGCAAAGGAACAAGAACATATCAAAATGTAAGGTAGGTAGGTAGATGGATGCCACAGTAACGCCCAAGCAAACGACTCCGAGAACTCCAACCAATGCGCTGAGCCCGCTGTTTCTTTTTGAGACAGGTGGAAAGAAGAGAAGAGACAAGCATGGTCTAGCTTATTTCAGGATGGCAATGAGCAAGACAAGAATGATGATGAGAACCACGATGGTGGTCATTTGCTTGTTCTCGCTTGCGCCTCGAGCAACCTTTCCGAGCATTCTACTCGCACGATCCAGTCGGCTCTGGTGACGATCGGTAACAGCCTCAACCTCATCGAGCATAGCAACGTGGCTATCAAGCTCATCACCAATTTGCATGCTAAGCTCGCGCTGGCGTCCGATAGACTCACCCAGGCGATCAAGCTGCTCATCCTGTTGCTCTAGGATCTGGGCGTGGTACTGGTGAATCTGCTGGTTGTCCATACCCTGTGCCTCGTCTCGGTAGCCGGCGCCATCGGAGGGATCATCGCGGTAACGGCCAAAGAGTTCGGCGGACGGCGAAGAAGGAGTGTCGCTGAAGCGAACAGTCTTTGGCTTCCTCGAGACTGGAGATGTCGATGTTGCGTGCTCAAAGTCGTCGGCGAGCTCTTCCGAGTTGGGGTGGGTGAGGGTTTCGGCGGTTTTGGAGTTTGGCTGGCCTAGGAATTGAGTTGTGAGGTCGTCTAGTTGCTTCTGGAGCGATGTGATGGATTCTGTGAGGCTTGTAGCGGCGCTGAGGGACAATATCAGCTTTAAAAATCGTGTTTAGTACCTTGAGAGAAGGGCCTACTCTGTTTCGCCGGCAAAAGTCAAGCGCTGCTCCTCATCGCGGAGATTGGCTAGACCATCGCGGAACTGGTCAAAAGATCGTGAGATATGGCCATCTTGCGAGTCGCCTTCAAGATTGAGACTCTTAGCCCGTTGGCGCTCCAACAGCGAGAGCTTAATGTGGTCGGCGAGCAGGAAGAGTTGATTGGCGCTCGACATGGTTGGTGACTGCGATGCGATGCGGTGGACAATGATCGATCAGTCAATTAGATGGAGCTGTTCTCAGTTTGGGAACTGACACAACCGCCAAAAAGGGAAAACAAACCAAAACAAAAGATATGACGGTTGGATCGCTTTGATTTGAATTTTGAATCTGCCGACAAGAGAGAGAATATACTGGAAGTGATGGATGATGTTGTAGATGGAAGTTACCTTCCTGAACCTACTAC